GTACAATGCAATCTCAGATGGGCCGGCGGGAGAGGGATATGCAGCGTCGAGGGAATACTGACACTTTGCAGATTTGGAGACCCGCGGAATCAGAGACAAAAGGGCGCACTGGCAGAGGGTAACCAAGATATCTTCGTAGCATGGTGCTCAGTCACTGCCCTAGGGAAGGAACAGGATCATTGACACGAATTGACAGGATGCTGTATTATCTTAGTGGTTACGCCTCTGGGTGGCAGACATCGCAAGCTGGATGTCTGATCAAGCGGCATCTCCGGTAGAAATGAAAGGGGCGGTGCGTTGGGCTGAAAGCAAATGTGCAGTAGTCGGTGGAGGTCAGTATAAAAGAAAGAGGGCGGCGATGAGTGCAAGATAGAGAGGCAGAATAATGGAAAAGTGAGAAAAAGAGAGGAGCAGCGAAGATGGGTCTTTAATGACGACGGGAGGTTACGTGATGGTGTTTTGGGACGCTAAACCTAGAAAAGTAAAGCTAACCGGATCTAGTAATTCACAGGTCCGCCGTTTACATGCTCGATTCAAGAAGAAAAGCATATTTTTAAATTGACGGATACTGGTATGTACTAGTATTAGGGTATTCGTTTGAGATGCATTGATGTGTGTTCTATCTTGGATCTTGCTGTTGAAGCGTTGTTAGATCTCAGGAGTTGCTCCTAGCGTGTTACAACGCTGGTATTCCGAGTATTCCCCGTTTACCATGCAAAGACAAAGAGAGAATGGGTACTTGATGAATAACAATGTCCTTAGTGGTAAAATACCACCGCTCAGTTTGACACATATGCCTAAATTACCAATCCTTTTTGAATCGAACCGACCCTGAGGTCCATTCCTTGACCAACAAAGCTCCTATCTTCAACATCTCCATGTTCCCTGTGGCCATCATCTTTTCTTTGAGTTCCCCAGGAACTAAGTCCATCAACATAGGAAGGGCACGGATGATTTGATTATATTTTGGATAAGCACTGGCTATCTCATGCAACAAGGCTTCTCCATCACTGAATAAATCACTCTGATCTTTCACATGATTTTTCAAAAAGCGCAGCTTTGCTTTGCAAAGCTCCGCAGTCAATTTTCGGGCGCCACGGTAAGTGCGTGGCCAGAGTTTCATCACTTTGTGACACGCTAAGGCCCTATGCTTCAGTCGAGCTGGTATAACAGAAGCTCTGGCTCTGGGATTGCATGGACCTAGTGTAGACTGTCGCACCTGATTTTGCTTAATGAAACCCCCGGAAGGCCTTTTTTTATTGACGTCTATAGTTGGCCCTGTTTTTATTTCATAATGGGCAGGTGATTCTTTTTGGCCCCCGGAAGATACCGTTTCCTCAGCATTTAACTCTGATAAGTCGCTTGCTTTGAGGGAAATCCGGGGGCCCTTAACACTTTTTATATCTTTGGGTAGTACAAGTGGATTGCACGAGCCACATGGGGTCAGAGACGGTCCAGATATTGCATTTGTACTTGAGGCGATAGAAAATGCTTGATATTCATTTCCTTTGATCGATGGATCCATGATGTGAAGATCACCTTGTCCCAATGCAACAGTAGGTGCTTGGGTAGTGCGGGATGGAATAAGTTTCATTTGCTAAACAATTCCGGATTGGGGCTGATGGTTGAGAGAAATAAAACCTCACAAAGCCTTGCTATGATAGCTTCTCGGGACAACGCCTCTGTTCAGAAAAGGATTGCTGCAGAAACAAAGGATTACGTAGACCTTTATAGGTTTTTGGAAGATATTCTTGCCACAATACTCCAGACAAGTTTAGAAAAAAGCCAGAAAGCCAAAAAGCTATAAAAATAAAAGATAAGGTTCATACCTGATTTGACAGAAAGGTGAGGTGTGATGATAAAAACCCTCACAAAATTTTTCCACCGACTGAGAATGACCTCGAATAACGTAGATTAATATAAATCTGAAACCAAGATGGTTTCATTTGGCCTAAATATATCCAAAGCCATACAAAATAGCGGGTCTCCGCACCTTTCGCCCTGTACCCTGAAATAGAGAAACGGTACTCTTTTGCGAGCGATTGAACAGAATGATGAACGGCAGTCTCTTGACTAGTGCCTTTTATTGAGCTGACTGTTAGGACAGTTCCCTGAGGGAATTCTTGGTACAATATAGATACGAGTGCAGAATGTGAGGTGTGCCTGATAAGGGTATGATGATATTCAGACTAATCGCTGGACCTTCCAATAGAATCCCGCTCTTGCTTTTCTAGGGGATGCCTTTGTGCGTATTCAAGCAGATAAACGAGGTGATGTATCAACAGGCAGTTTCAGTGGTGCATCGGCACCTCCCCCGCCATTCCCTAAACTTTATTGTATGGTTGGCGTAACACTCACTTTTTCAATCAATGTGCTCGTCCGAAAACCCTATTCTTTGAGCGTACAGCTTCAAGTTTATGTAACAGAACTTAGTTGCTAAACGTGCATAGTTATGCAGGCAAGGCCCTAGTATCCTAAATCCAAGACCATGTAGCTCGAAAAAAAGCAACCATAATGCAGACCTGTACCAGTGGGCAGGAAGAGCGAATAAGCAACGTGCGAGGCAAAACAGTCCATACGTAGTTCAGCCAGATCTTTTTGCAACGTTTTCACGCACACGTACATCCGTGTTGAATGTTCCCTCCTCTCACTTCGTTCGTTTCAGGGCCGCACACTTGTCAATACATATGATCTCAGCTTAATGCATCTTTGATACATTGAATGTTGTGTTTAATAAGTGTCGCACACGCATGAACATGTTCTTGTTCAATTGAGCTATCGTCTAGCGTCAGATCACACCTGCTGGCTGTACCTACTATGTACCCGAAGGCCGTATTAGCCGTGGATTAAAATTTTCGAAATCTTAGGGAAATTAATTCGGACCCCTTGAGACTTGCCCATAATTCGCCCAGATGTTCGATTGAAAGACTCTACGAGTAGGCCGAAAATCGCGAAACCTCCATGCTCTCAGAAACGTGTAGGTACTTGGCAGAAGTACTATCTACCTTGGGAAGGGGGGTGGAATCCGTGTTTTTTCTGGGCCTCAAAGCTCGTCTAAAGCAAAACCGATGCGAAAAGAAGATAACCGCAAAGACCAAACTTACACCAAATATACATCCAAGCACTAGACCCAAAACATGGGCCGGGGCAGTTCGAGATGCTTGAGTTTTGTCCATCGTCGGTTTTTCTACTAAGGAGTCTGTTGTGGTCGTTTTGTCCGGCTCCATGCTTTTCGGATGTGGAAATGAGGTTATTGTAATCGGTGGGGGTTTTCTAAGGCCACCATCGCTTGCTTCGGGCCTTTCTTGCACTGTCTGGCTACACATAGGGCCATGAGACAATCTGATGCAGTTTGATGAAATATTCTGGTTCCTTGTCACATAAATACCAACGTTTTTTGCTTTCGCTTGGGGTTCCCCGGCTTGAATTCCCTGCGAAGTAGCATGGCTTGAATAGGCCGACGGAGCATGGGCATAAGTGCTCTCGGAGACCCAGTTTGAGGTTGGAGTGATCAGCAAACTAGCCACGGGCAGATTATACGACTTGTCTGGATAGAAAACAACACCAGAGCCTTCCGTGGAATCGTGAATATCATCAAATTCGAGTCCTGTGGGTTGCAACATGCTTTGAATGCCGATTTTTGATTCCATGGTATTGGTCACAACCAAGCTATTGAGGCAGAAGGTGCCACTGAAATTTTGGGAATCTTGATATACAGGTCCGCTGCTGCCCAGCTCATTGTCAGCTTCGGCATAGGCTGTTGTAGGCTTGATCGTTTCTGTACTGCCGGTGTCCGACCAGTCAGAAACGAAACTGTTTGTTGCTGTCTCTGAACGAGGTGATGGAAGCGACGAGACCTTGTCGAGCCTTTGGTCTGTAAGGCCAAAAGGTAGAGCTGTCGACGGTAAGATATTTGATGTTAGATGACGCCATTCTTCCCCCCCTGGCACATGAGTTTTGAGTGCGGTGGCTGAACCAGAAAATATTTTGAATTGTTGGCTATGGCAAATATGTCAGCAATAATCTCATACTCTTCCAATCAAAATCAAACAGACCTCGATAGGCTACTTCCTTGGGCATAGGTTGTCAGAGCACTAA